TTGTACTGGAATACTAAGTAACAGTCTAAACTTAGATACTGTAAAGACTGCAATGTTTTATAGTCACACTTGAATAGTAAAATTGTTCAACTACCCAGTTTGATACACTTTTTCCTCACATGAAATTAATCACTTGGTTTTGACAGTAATAGGTTCCTTAGACTGGGCTGCCTTGAAAATTGATTTCTTTAATGCTTTTTGCTACAGTATGATCAAGGAAGTAGTGAATATCTCATACTTAATGATATTTGGGGTTTTTTTTGATAAGAAAAGCACGCTTTGCTGAATGTAAGTGCCAGTCCAGGGAGTTACTGCAGGATGTGCTTGACTTTAGGTACTTCAGTGCCTCCTTGACATGGCTCATGATGTTATTGTAAGTTAAGTCTTTGTAACAAAAACCGAGTCACAATATAGGAAAATATTTAAGAAGGTACAAGTGCCTTAATGCATGACTGTAAAAATATTAAGAATTCTATTTCTTTGGATGCTGAAATCTATATCAGGGAATATTTTAAATCTAGGACTCAAATCTGCAGATGAGAATCCTAACTTGTGAGGTTTGTCTTAAAATTATTCTCAGTCTTTTCTGATAGAAAAGATTTTCTGGTAATATTAAAAAATCTTTTGGGATGAAGAATGTGGATGGTAAGAATTTTGAGGGGAAATTACTTTTTTTTTTTTTCCATTTCCAGTTAGTTTGACTTTTCTTGCTTTTTAACAATTTCCATGTTATTTTTTCTTTAGTCTGTATACCTTTAAACACTGCTGCACTGTACTACAGTAATTTATTCCCCAGCTTTTCCCTGATATCTACAAAGCGTCAGCTATTATTTTCAGCAAATCGAATGAAGGCAGATGTTTTCATTAATCCAGATTTTTGCCATTCCAATGAGTTTTCCTGGATAGCTTGCTATTGTTTTACCTTTATTTTTGGCTATTGAAATTCAGTTATCTTTCCTAGTAATCCAGGAGAATACACTCTGGTTTTGTTACTTATATCACTACCCATTTTGTTTATGCAGGACTGCTGCTGCTTATGGTTCTTCCTTCAATTGTGGTTCCATAAGTATGTCCAAGAACCATTTTTTTTCAGATGGCATTGTGCTTCAACTTGGTTCATTAAATCCAGCTTTCTGCATGTGTGAATACAATACAAATAATTTCCTTTGTCATCTTCCTCCTAACCTTTTGTGTACAACTTCCATTTTATCAACAACATAGCTGCTAACATCTTTCATCTTCCTAATCATCCCCATTACTGTTACTCTACATTACCTGCTTTTTGTGCCATCATATCAAATTCAGTATTCTTTTTCCATCTTCAGTAAAATTCAGCACTACTTCATTAGTTTAATCATGTTTCTTCTGATATCTTACCCTCTTTTCTTTTTCCCTTTGGCATAGTATGTTTGTACACTTAGGCGTTTCATCTGTTCTTTTTCATACCAATGCAACCACATCATCCACATTCCATTTCATGTTTAGCTTCTGCTATGATGCCTACAAGGGAAAAGACAGTGAATGCTTATTAATTTATAGGACAATGTGTTTAGGCACTTTGTCTAAAACACTACTTTTTTGTTATTATCTTTTTTTTCCCCTCCATGTTTTGTGCAGTGTTTCCTTCAGATTGTGAGCTTTTGGAGACAGAACCTGGGCTTAAATATGTACTCAGAAATCATACGCAATATCACATCTAACATCATAAGTTTTAAAAAAAACTTTAATATTATTGATAACAATGAGTTTCCTGGCGGATATTTGGTGTATTTTATTATTAAGGACAACAGGAAAACAACCATGCAAACCTGAAATATAAAATGTTATTTATTAATGTTTTAATTGGTTCAGAATAACCAATGCTTCAATTTACTGTGCTTCAGTTTTCTCTGTGCTTGTGTATGTAAGTTCAAGTACATGATCCTAAGGATGTAATGCTCAGGGGTTGCTTTTCTTAGTGTCTTATGTAGGGAAAACAACAAAGTGAGACAGGGTCACTGTTAGGTTTTTTTATATTCTTTATGAGAAAAAGGGAAAGTTGTACATGATATAACAAACTGAGAATGAGAAAAAGAAAGGTTTGACACTGTGGAAGAAGAGTTCAGCAATAACCAAAGCATTGATAATGAGCACTGTTTTAGCCAAAACTCCAAAGTGCAGCATGACACAGACTGCTACGAGGAAGCAAACTCCACCCCAGTCAGTCCCAGCACCTGAACTTAGCATTTACTTATTTTAAGTTCATTCGAGTCTGTTTTTACATTTGAATAAAATCACATCAAAATGATAATTTGAGTATTAGTTGCCTTGAAAACCTGAACTTTATAGAGTTTATTTGGAAGATTAGCAGAAGGACCTTCCTCTGATTAATCTTTTTAATACTAATAATTTTTTAATCAATTTATTTTACTTGTGAAAACCCTTAGATTTTTATTTGTAGCAGTGTAGTTTTTACTCAATGAAACAAGAAACTCTTCTTATTCCAACCACTGTTTAAACTTGATGGGGAGTTATTGATGAAAAAAGTGTAGTGGGCAGTGATTCTTTGAATGGGGCGAGCCTCATTAAGCATGTAATAGTAGTAGTACATCTGACTACTTTCTTTATTTTACTATTCAGCCTTATTTCATATCAGTCAAAACACACTGCAGGAAGTTATTGTCTGGAAGATTATTGCATTTATCAAAAAATTGAGGTTAAGGTCACCCTATTCCAGTTTTATAACACCATTTGTGACTTATGCCTCCGAATGTAGTGTCTGTCTTCTCTTATCAAATAATGTAATTTTACTGAAAATGGAGTGCTTCTGTCTGTGCAGACTGTCTGTATTCAGTCTGTTGGACTCTAGTAAATGGATATCTCATTGCTGAAGAACTAAAGAATGAGGGCTTAGAAATGTCACTTAGAAAAGGGAAGGCCTTTATGGACAGAGTAAGCTCTCTCATTAGTTTGTTTCTGAGACTCTGGCAGTTTAATCTTGCTTTACAAATTAACTTCCCACTGTTGAAAATAGACAGAGAGAATATGATAAATACCAAAAAATAGTAAATTAATTTTTGCACTTTAGGTTCCTATCAGTAACATAATAACAGTATCACTTAATATAAAGCTACTGAAAGTATTTTGAAAATTAATTAATAGTTGTGAAGAACTGTGTAACTTCAGTAATAAACACTTATGACAACAGAAACCGAGAAGAAAACGGAAAGTGCTGTATTCAAAGCAGAGTTTTAACAGAGTACAATAACTGTGGAGCAAAGACAATGAGGTGAAAGCAAAATAGTGAGTAGCTGCTGATTGAGAATAGTGCCAGCCTGGTGTGGCATTAGCTGAGATTCAGGAAGGTAAATACTATATAAAATTATAAACTTTTGTCATATGCATACTTGCAAGATGGAACAGATGGAAATTTTCTAGGCAACTTTAATTTCAGCATTTCTAGTTTTCTGAAAGCTTGACTTTTGTGTTTTTGTATATTTTGGGGTTTGGGATTCTTTCACTTCCTCCTCCTCTCTCCCCCATTTTTATTGTGAATATTATTTTGTGCCTGTCAGTTACAAATGTTCCACAGAAGCAGATAAAACAACATATTGAACTTTCCTTTTCAGTTAGAAAATCTGTTTATGTCCAAATCAACATATGAGTACCTAATTCTTGTTGAGTATTCGTTGCCAAAAATGCATGTGTTTTGTATTTTCTCAGATTATCTTTTCCCATTGCAATTTTATATACTATTACTATAGAATTGGGCAAATTAAGAGTTAATTGTTTTTAATGCAGACTGCATATTTGAAAAAAAATTCTAATTTATCTTACTTCCTTTTCAAAACCAGGCATCCCTGTCTCATATTGCACTGTGTATTAGAAAGCCTACAAATGCCTGAGGGGTTTATGTGAAATTATTTGTATAAACATCTTATAGCTTGTTTCAAGGAAAATACTGTAACATATAACATCCCTTTTTTAAGAAGCATTATTTGACAATTCAGCTATAGCAGCTGGGGATACTGTTACCCAGCTGTTTATGGCTACTTGTTTCACAGTTCAGCCAGCAGAGAAGAAGTGCAAGTTCTCACTGTTCCACTACACTAGAGTCAACAATGGCTTCAAAATATGTAATTAGCAATTAGGTTAAATTTGCTAATTTTGCACTTAGGTAGATCAAGTTGAATTCCTCTGGCTGTACACTGAAGAATTATGTTTCTGTCAGGAATATAATATATTGCAAGATTCTAGGAATAAAAAGCCTTGAATTTCTATCAGTGTGGAAAATGATTCTGTCTCTTGAGTATCAATCAGGTTTCATTGTTTTTTTCTGTAAGAATGGAAGCCTTATGCCACTTTTCTCTGTTTATATTTTACTGAACATTGAATCATGTGGTTTGCTTGTTTCATCCAGGCTTTTACAATGGTGCCTTTCCTATTCATATAAATAAAAGCAAACAATTAAAAACAACCCTCAGCATTTTTGAAGTTGTTCTTTTCATCAGCAACATGCTCTCAGTAGTGATGAGCAACTGCTAAAACCCGTTTTCTTTCTTCTACATGATACTTACTTATGTATTTTAATTTCTGGGAAAAGCAAAAATAGGATTCAAGATATAACAATGAATGGATTGCTTTACCCGATGTTTTACATATATATATATTAGAGAAAGTTAACTACTTCTTTTACTTAGCAATTATAAAATTCTGGATTTAGTTTCATCTCTACAGTAAAGGGAATACTGATGATCTACAGTTGTACTCTTGCATTAGGTGCAGCCAAGGAATAATGTAGGCAGGTCACCATCAGGTTGCACAGTTAAATACTTCCATCCTAGGTGAAGCTTTGGCTATAAATGTGCCCATCTACCTCCTGTCCAAGATCACAAGGAGAGATGGAGACTGTGGGATAGCACTCATTGTTTTCAGGTGTTAGGTCAACTACTGTGTTCTTTTTAGCTTTTTCTGGATAAGGTTACTTCCTAAAGTGAATATATATATATTATTGATTGTAGGATGGAATGGGAAATTTGAGAGTCACTAAAAAAGGAATACGACTTGAAGGAATATCTGAATTTCTACTTCCACTATATGTGAAAGAAATCCATTCCCGGAAGGTAGGTGTTTTTCATCTTTATTTCTTAATTTAGAGCTAATATAAATTGATCTTTTCAGTCTCAAACTACAAAGTTTAATTCTTTCACCTCCTAGATTAGCAATCAGTAGAGGTTTGCTTTGAGAGTGCCTTAAGAGTGAAAGCTTCCTTCATGTCAAAAATTATTTTTTTTTTCTGAAACCTTGCTTGCCTCTTAAAAGAAATGTCTTATCCTAATGAAAGGAGATTCAAAGCATGTATATTTTATACTTCAAATTACCTCAACACAGGGAATGGAACAGTTGAGTCTTCATTTGATGTGAACTCCAGAAAAACAAGACTGGTGATAAGCGCAAAATGCAGTGAAATAAGGAATGGTTTTGTTTTTTCTGGTATTAGACATAATGATTTCTTTTTCATTCCCGTTTTTTATTTTAATTTTTGTTTTCTTTTACTCATTAGGGAGGGGCAAACTTTCTATTAATTTTTTCAAAACAAACCCTTTTTAATATTAAATGTAATTGTTTTATCACATAACAGCAGGTTATTGCAGAGGAAAAAAGAAAACCAAGTTATTATGTATTAAGAAATTCATTGCAGCTCATTTTAACTCTTGTTTTGATTTAGTTATACTGTTTGTATTAACATTGTCAACGAAATAAAAAAAAACAATTTTGAAATACTGGAAACCTCTAAAGTTCTTTTTACCATGCAAGTGATTATCTATGACCACAGAGGAATGTTACAATGGTTTTCAGTTAACCATCTGCAAAGAATTTTAATATGCATACTGCAAAAGTTGACAGGAATCAAAACTATGTTGACCCTAAATGCCTTTGTGACAAATTTTGTTGTTTAAAACCTGTCTTCTATGTATATAAGGAAAGTCTCAAGGATGTTAATAAATGAGATCATGACAGTTTCCCATTTCTCCTAATTAGTTCACTCTTGTGTTAAGAAATCTGTGAGGTAGTCTCTCTTCTTTTTCTGTAAAACTAAGATCTTTCAGTGTTTAAGAGAGTAGCAGTATTGTCCTATTTAATGAAAAGTTTTATAATATTTAAGTAACCTTCCAGGCAAGCATACTTTTCCTTCAAGGTTGCAGAACATTAGTCAGGATGTGTGTATTTTTCCCATTTCTTTTCTGTGAGTGGACGGTGTGTGTTCTATTGTTCCATGCCCTATTACTGTACATGAGAGTTACGATCTGGAATATTTTCTTGCACAGTGCTTCATATTGCAGAACATTAGTTCTGTCAAAGTGAAGATGGAAACTTTTTGTTTCAAGTGAGAGTAATAAGAGACCCAAGTAGGGTCCTAATTTCATTTAGCTGCTACCAAATCTCAGAAAAAAAACGCACACAGATGTAACTATTGCAAAAGAACAGGATGCAGAGTCTACCAGAAGCCTAATATAAGGTCCCACTAGTCTTTTGAGACTCATGAAAAACATATAGTCTTGTCAGTAAATGTTCTCAAACCAGCAGAAGATAGAGCTATTAACTGTACAAAGTAGTTCAAGTAATATATTTTTGGTGTTCCAGGTCTACTTATATGTATTAATATTAAAGCACTTGTTACCTAGATAAAAAAGTGGTACTTATACAGACTTCATTCTCATCTTGCAGCACTTGTGAACTAGGTTCACTTTTCAGTCTTTTGCCAACTTGCTCAGTAGTTTTTATGCTAAAATTTCAGTAACTTGTGGTGTATGCAAATGTGAATGTCATGACTGAATGACAAAGGAAACCTCTGGAGTTGTATTCAGTTTAGCACTAGGAATTTGTAATGTCTCTGTAGGATATTCCCACAGGTGTGTGGCATCTGCATGTGACATTAGCTGTTTTGTCACTTACAAAATTGACCTTGCTACTGTAGAAATCTAAAAGTAAGCTAGGTTGCCTGAGCTCCCATTACGGTCAGCAGAGACTTGGGTAATACAGACGAGAAGGCTCTTACTTGCTTTTTCCATGGAAGAAATAATGATTTAAGTTTGATATATACTGGATTAAAATATACTGTGAAATTGACAACTCATCATTTATTTTCTAGGAGGAGAGTTTACTCTCTAAGCAAATTTACTCATTCCCCTGTAAAAGAACACATCCATTAAAGTGACATTGTTGGATTAACTCTTGAGATGATTTGTAATAAATATATTCAATAGTAACTTTGCAAAACAACACTCCACAATGGTGACACAGTTTGTAGAATGGTCTCTGAGACACCTCCGTGTAGGGCTGTCAGACCAGGAGGTTGTTCTTCCATTATTCGGCACAAAGCAGAGTGAGGTGGGTAGACCAACAATATAAGCAGTGAGGTACAGCAGTGGGTATGCTGTGTTATGGCTAAGAGGCATGAGTGGAGTTCTTGCATGTTTGCTGGAGCTATCTTTTAGTAAGCTAGATCTGAAGCTAATAACACGTGTTCGTTGGTAGAGGAGGGTTCACCTCTGATTCTGACAGTGATCTACTTCTGGTAAGAATTCCAGGCAATCTGTTGAGTAGCTAGGCTGAAATGAGCTCTCTGCTGCAGCAATTTAAGTGTGAGGGTGATGAGATTTGCTAGTGTAAAGTTCACATATGGTTACAAATGCTGAAGTAGCCACATTTACCTGCTGCAAAATGATGCCCAAATAAGATCACTTATGCAGGGTTAAATGTAGACCTTAAATTGCCTTTATCAGGAGAACTGCATTGAACCTTGTATATAAGTTGAAAAATTGCCTTTTATCTTGTGATTGCTTCATTAAAGCCCTGAATACTAAAAGTAAATGCTAAAATACTTAGAGTTAAGTCAGCTGGAAAACTGATATGTGTGAATTCTTAAAAACAAAATTTCTAGTGATGTTTTCTCCTGACAGTATACAATTTTTTATCAAAAAGTAGTAATGAAAAATCCAGATCTTGAGTAAAATGAATATTTCCTGTTTTCTCTGCAGAAGTTACATAAATGAGAAGGTTACTCAGAGTGTGCTTTTTCCCTAACCCTGCTCTTCTTGCTTTGCTCTTTTTACCCTACGCAGTTAGTGGTGTCCGCAGAACCATGGGTTCCTACTCCAATCCCATGTTTACATAGAAAAGAAACTTCTGTATTTTCATCAAATGACTTCACTGCATGTCAGAAGCTGGACTGATGCATCAGAACCTGAGCAGATATGGGGTCATTTGATTCTGAATTGACATCTTTCCCTTTTGATCAAACTGCTAGTCTGAAACCAGTAAATTTCATCTAGACTATATAATATTTCCCATGTTTATATAATTTGCATTGATATGATGCAAACAAACAATGCAAACTACATTCTTTATGGTGTATCATTAATAAGATGTATGAAATCAAGTAACATATAATGCAGAATCCAATATTTCAGTTCTTCTGAATAATCATTATACTACTGCATCCTTATCATTATACTAGTGCACTTTTGAATAGAGGCAATCAAGTTAAAGTTTTATTAGTTTGTTATATAACAATAAAAGCTGTTCATGGTGTTTTCTTGAGAATGTATTCCTGGGTTTATTAATCTATTTCATTCTCACATACCATACTTAAAAGCCAAAGAAAATCAAGTTATCTTTTTGTTAAATTGTTTCCATTACCTAAAAAGAAGTTAGTCATTGCCCATTAAACTAGAGGGAATTGCTTTCATTTTTTTGCATAAAAAATGTATTTTCTAAAATAAGCATGTGTTTTCCAGAGATATCCTTAGAGAACACTGAATTTAATAATTCAGTTAAAATTCATGGTAAAATGTCTAGAAAACAAGAAATAGAGAATACATATAAACTTCTAACTGAACAGAGGAAACTCTGAAAACTGTCTATATACCTTGTATTTTAAAATGTATGTGAACTAAGAAAGTGTAGATGGGTTTCAAAGCAGGACTTCTTTCAGGTATTTGTTCTCTCCACATTTTCACTGTGGAGACTGAATATCCTTGTAAATTCTTAGAAAGCTTTATTTTACTTTGTTTTATTTCCAAACCTGGATCCATCTTCATAAAAGCAAATCTACAGTATATTTCTTTCTTCACTATCTCTGTAAGTGTGTATAATCATCAACATGGAATTAACCTTTGCTGATTTCAGCCAGCACATTGTACATATTTAGGTTTATGTTTGTGCCTTTGTGAGAACCTCAAATTTTTTTTCTGAGACAATGTCTTTGTTGAGCTTCTCTGTCTGATGGAACTACAAAGATGCAGCATAGGAGATCACATCAAAAAGCCTTTATGAAGTTGAGGAAGAACGTACATTCATCTTGTCCATTGAACCAGTCTTCTCTTTTTGCAAGACCACCAAATCAGGTGCTCCTTGCTGTTACTAACCCCATGCTTGTTTTGTACCGTCTTCTTTCCCTGGCTACTTTGTAATGGTTTTCAGGGGGCTCTCCTCCACAATCTTTCTAGGAACTAGTATGAGACTGACTGGGCTGTAGTTTCCAAAGTCTTCCCTCCTTGCAAGATGTTGCTACACTCTTTAAAGGCCTAAAAACGTGCTGTATTTGTTGACTGAACATATTCCCCCACTCTCCATTTAAACATGTTCCAAAATTTCAAGGCCAGGTTTGCTATATCCTCTCTCTTTTCTGCTCTGTAAGATACACCACTGCCATGTAGCCAAACTAATTTGAGAATCATGCAATCCTACTACTACTAACATATATACGTATCAGAGAAACTCCATTTAGGAGATATCACTGCTCACCCTTTTTGTAATATCAAAAAAATCACAATGGTATCTAAGAATCTGCTGTTGTTATTGCTCAGTGTGAAATGCAATACTTGTTTCTGTAGCTACATGTCACAATCTGCTCAGATAAAACTTGAAATGCTCCCGAGTTCATTTTTGTACCTGCTCTTCAAGCCTTGCCCTTAGGATCATTCACCTGTCACTAAGGATAAAGCCATTATTGTCCTGGTTTCAAAAACCCAGGTAGGCATAGAGGACTCCTTAAGTCATTTTGGCTATCAACACGATGTAGTTCCAATAGTGTCACTTTTATTGGCTATGAACAAGA